TTGTGAAGGGCGACTGTACAGGTAATAATAATTCATAGGCTCTAGGTTGTGTTTCTCACTTTTGATCTTTTTTTCATTCTTGTAGTATTTCATTACAGTAAAGTCAAAAATCCGGATGCCAGAAATCGGACCACCTGAAATCCGGACTTTTAAAACTAAATTTTATTTATTTTTTAAGCTGGCTTTTGTGTGTATGTTGGATGCGTGGCGCACAGCTGCACAATGACAACAAGCGACCATTTCATTGCTTTTAAACGAACAATCAAACTGTGACAACATATGTAATTTTGAAACCTCTCTTTCCATTTACAGAGTACTGTACAAGCCCATAATAATGGCTCCTTAAGTAGATAAACTTCGTTGTGTGAAGAAAGAAGAACACGTTGAAATTGGTGACAAACTTGAAATAATTAAGAAACTAGAACATGGTTCTAATGGAAACATATAACATTGGAAAGTCTACAATTTATGATATAAAAAAGCAAAATAAAATTCTAGAATTCACAGCTTTTCCTTAAAACTGCTGGTTTTGATAAATGAAGCATGCTATATTTGCTAATGAATAAACTATCAAAAATGTACCTGTTCATCTCTTCTTTATTCCTCCTTAAATTTGAATTTTAAAAGTACTGCCTGAGAATCCGAGGAAAATCCGAAAATCGGATACCCAATCCCCAAACATGTCCGGATTTTTGGATACTGTATTATTATTATTATTATTATTTTATTATTACAGTACAGTATTGTTATTATTATTATTATTATTATTATTATTATTATTATTATTATTATTATTATTAATATTATTGTTATTAATTGTATTATTATTATTTTATTATTATTATTATTGTTATTCTTATTTTATTTTTGTGTATTTTTTATTTAAATTTTTATTTACAATGAATAATTATTATTATTATTATTATTACCTATTATTATTATTATTACCTATTATTATTATTATTATTATTATTATTATATTATTTTATTATTGTTATTATTATAATATTATATATTTTTGAGGCCCGATGTGGGTCAGTGCCCTGTGCCTGGGTAGGCTAATACCGATAAAAAAAAAAAAAAATAATGCTCACAAAAAACTTTTGTTTTCAGAGCTTTTGGTTTTGAATTTTGGATAAAGGGTTGTCAACCTGGGTACTGTATTATGCAAAGTTGCTTTAGACTTTGGACTCAAACCATGTGAAAGTACGGTATGTTGGGGCCTGCTTATGTTAAATTCTTCATATTATTATTAATTTTTTTTAATTTTTTTTTTTTTTTTTTTTTTTTTTTAATCCAATTTTATCTATGTTCACATTGAAACTTGTTGGTATACAGTACACTTTATTCCCAGTACAGTATATCATTAGTAACTCTATTAGGGCAATTTACACTCCCCAGAAAGGAAGAGTATTTAGCATGTACAATACCCTACAACAAAGTTTGTCATTTCATGTGCAGTACAGTACATTAATTATTGTAGAATTCTTGCTGAGCTTCATGATTTCTTGGTTGTGTCCATATCACTGAAGTAATGTCTCTAAATACAGTAATCAGTTTAATCTCATTTGCTTTCATATATCTGTAGTTCAACAGTTGGAATTATGGTATGCATAATAAAGTTTCTCACAATCTTATGTTAGAATATGGACTCTAGGAGAGCAAAAATATTACATAGGATACTTAGAATTAAATTTCTTAAAAACACAAGGACATTAATCTTTTGACCTTTGTAGATGTAAATGAAAACTTGAGTCTGCAGAATTATTTTACATCTCGCTCTTTTCTAGGTTTCCCTAGTGCTATGTCCCCTTTACCTTATAGTTTTAGAAAACAAAGTTATTTCACTGTATCCATAGCCATATTCATATTTATGTCTATTTCAGTACCTATTATTTTACTAAGTTTATTCCAGTAAGGTCATGTATCATTTTCTTTACATCCTTTGCCTGATTAACTGTACAATTTGTTTGATGCTTAATGGCTTAGCTTGG